GGATGGTCTTGATCTCCTGACCTCATGAGCTCACCCCTGTGGCACACAAGCTAACAAAGCACTACTGGCAAAAGAAAATAGTATCTCAGGTTTAGTTAATGACTGACTGTCTAATAACAGTACTCAAAAGTCAGTTTTAGTTTTTTGGTCATGTTAACTATCCGTTTTGAGCCAGGGGTCTTTTAACTGTCTTTGGAAATTGATAGCTTCATAACGTGGGGCACAAATCACTGATGTCCACATAATTCCAAGCCCAAAGTCACATGAGGGCTCCTGTATTCCCAGCCTCAAAGACTCTGGACAGAGCTGTCCTGAGCTCTGCCCCAGCCAATGTCCCTCTGAGATTGTCTACTTGCCTCCTTGAGCCAGAGGCCCTGGCCTGGGCTCACCTGCTGTGTGTAGAAGCCAAGAAGATCCTCTTGGAGCTCAGCAGCGGCCATTAGAGGTTTAGCAAATGAGCCATCTGACTTTCTTGCTTGTACACTCCAGGCCTCAGGAAAATGGTGCGTATTTTAACCCCGCTAAAGGCATCTCCAAACCAAGTCCCAGGGTCCTTATGAAGATACTTGAAATTGTAGGAAGGAGGAGTGTGAAAAGGACTCTGATAGAAGACCCAACGAGACCACAGTGCCCCGAGATCCCAAAGGGCTTTACCAGACTGATACCAGGCAGGGGCTGGGGAACGGACTGGTGTCTTGGACCTGGAGTGGCCCATACCTCCTGCTCCCTCTTTTCCAGGGCTCCTCCGTGTGTCAAGTGACTGCCATCGGTGTCACCGTAATACTGCTTTATACCTCTCGGGCCTGCTACAACCTGTTCATCCTGTCATTTTCTCAGAACAAGAGTGTCCATTCCTTCGATTACGACTGGTACAATGTATCAGACCAGGTCAGTGGGGGTTCTGAGGAGGTGTCACCTGACCAGGGACCACAGTTGACCCTTGGTATCCTCGAGGCACTGGTTCCAGGACCCCAGACAATACCAAAATCTCGATGCTCAAGTCCCTGATAGAAAATGGTGTAGTATCTGCATGCAGCCTACACACATCCTTCTGTATGCTTTCAATTAATCTCTAGATGACTCACAATACCAGATACGACACAAATGCCATGTAAACAGTTGTTATACTACATTGTTTGAAAATGTCTATTTTTAATTGTTACTAGTATTTGTTATTTTCAAATATTTTTGATCCACGGTTGGTTGAGTCCGCGGATGTGGAACCCGCTGATATGGAGGGCCGACTGTATTTGCATTTCAGTGGTTCACGTGGCAGAGAAGTACAGGCTCCTTGTTTCTCCGGGTGAATGACTGAGTGACCTTGAGAGGTCACTTCCCTGTGTGACATCTGAACTCATCTGTCAGATGGGATCACAGCACCTGCCTCATTCCCTTTCACATGTCTTTTGAGAAAACCAGGAGATTACATATGTGTGTGTATGTATCCACACACATGTGCAC